TAAATTCAGAGAAATTAGCTTTGGGGGCTGTGTGACCCAAATGTTCTGTATTCATATGAGCAGTTCTATGGAGACTCTTTTGTTGGTCTTCATGGCATTTGATCGCTACATTGCCATCTGCCACCCTCTGCGGTATAGCCAAATTCTCACTAACAGAGCTATTGTTCTCATCCTTGTGGTCATGACTGCTGTCAATTTCATTTCAATTATCTCTCTGGTGTTTCTCATCTTGAGGCTCCCCTTCTGTGGACATCATATAATCCCCCACACATATTGTGAACACATGGGAATTGCTCGGCTGGCCTGTGGAAGTGTAAAGGTAAACATGATATTTGGATTATTTCTTGTATCAATCATGCTTTTCACTGTGGTTCTGATTTTTACCTCCTATGTGAGCATACTCCGAGCAGTCTTCTGCCTTCCTTCTCGGGATGCCAGACTCAAGGCACTTGATACATGTGGCTCCCACACCTGTGTCATCCTGGTCTTCTTCACTCCAGCTCTTTTCTCCTACCTGACCCACCGGTTTGGCAAGAATGTTCCTGTATACATCCACATTCTCCTGGCCAATCTATATGTTGTTGTTCCACCTGCCCTAAATCCTGTCATCTATGGAGTGAGGACTAAGCAGATCCGGGAGCGGGTTTCAAGCATCTTTTTGCAAAAAAAAAGCTGACATAAATGATCCTAGAGACATGCATCGTAATCTAGGGTAAAGGGATTGTGTTTCTCAACTACAGAATGCTTCAATGGGAAAAAAAATAAAATAAAAAACCTCCGACCTATATATTATTACATTATAATTTCCCCAGACACCAAATCCAGGGCATATAATGTGATTAATGTCAAAATGTTCACTGTGAAAATGTATGGAATACCTAAAGTTTAAGACAACTCATTTAGAAGGTTTTATTATGATTTACTTTCTGTTTACCTCTACAGACCAGGTATTTTAGACAGAATTATGTGGAATATAATGCATCTTTTTCTTTGCAGATTGTTAATGCTGTTGATTACATTATAAAACTCTTTAAATAGGCAGATAGATATGTATATATCTACAAATATGGACTACAGACTTTTAAATAGTTTTTATATATTCCTTTCTTTTGTAATTGTTTACATGTTTTTATTCATAATTTCATTGATATTATATATCACAAACTAAATCTTGGTAATATAAAGCTAAAAAGACATGACTTTGATATCTTTAACACAATTTCATTTTAAGTGTCTTTTAAGAAGAAAAATTGGGGCATTTTTTAAAAACTCTTTGGAACCTTTCTGGGCACATTACATACATGGAACCTTTCCCATAATTGACCTATTATTCAAATTGAACCAGTCTGCTCTTTTGGATGTGTGTGTGTGCAACACTGATACATATATGCAAGAGTATTTGAGTGGGAAGAGAGTGGGAGGAGAGAAAATGATGAAGGACTTCATTTGAAACATCAATATGGTAGAGGATTTATGGTAGTCAGAAATGAATATCCTAAATGGATGAATTCCCATAAATGTAAATTATACTCTCAAAGGTCAAATCCAATGCTCTAGACAGTAGTTACTGTCAGATTCATGAACTTTAGTTACTCATTTATTCATCATGTACTAAGAATCTTTTAGCATTCCTTGCTTTTCTACTTGTACTCCTTCCTGAGGCTTATCAGATGAACCAAAGTATCCTACCACTCTTCACATTTTGTGACTAACAGTATATTTTGTGTTATCATTTACTTCATTTTGTCTTGTTTCTCACATAGTAGGTGCTTAATAATTTACATTGTGTTTCTTTTTTAAAAATCCAATATAGCATACATATGGTAAAGTGAAAGAACCTTATACATACAGCTTGATGGATTTTTGCAAACATAAAAATGATGCAAAGTCCTCCTCTTTGGAATATATTTCCTTAGAATTTCAAAGTCTCATTCCAGTGACTGGGATTAGCCACCTATCCCCAAACTCAAGATACTCCATCACTGCTTTCCCTTTTAGGGCTCTCCTCTTCGGAATACTCACAAGCCCTCTGGTTGCATTCATTTAGTTGAACAGATGCTCCAAGGAGCTCTAGGACTTGAGCCTATGCATTTGTCCAAGGGTCTTTTGGCTGGTTGCCACTCTAGGGTAGCGGCCTGAAGAGCAAATTCACTCCATTGCGTGGTACAGTATTTATTTAACAGGACTGCCAAAGATTAGGCTGCCAGAATGGTGCTGGGACCCCACAAAAAATATTTTCTTACATTCCTTTACATGTCATGAGCAGACCTGCAACTATGTAATCACTAGTAAGACCAGCATATGTGGTATTATCAACTACACAGAACAGATTCATGTCCCTACAAGTCAGCAACTCTCATAGTTCATCATTTTTCTGATCCTATTACTACAGATAAGTTTATAAATTTCATATTAATTACGCTACTTAACATATATTTTTTGTGGTGGCTTTTTTCATTCTAAATTATGCCTGTATGATTCATTCTTATGATTGCATATTGCTGTCATTTGTTACTGCTCATTGCTGTGTAGTATTCCAGTATATAAATATACTAAATTTAATTTCTTTCTGGATAGATATTTTGATTTTTTTTTTTTTTTACTATTTTGAATAAAGTTGTTATGAACATTTTGTCCATGTTGTTTGGGAGACATTGATAGTCAATTATAACTCCTATAAGCATGCTTTCTGAGTGACAGTAAAGATAGAATTTAGCCTTAGAAGAAAATGCAAAACAGTTTTTCAAAATTTTACACCATTTGCATGTTCACCAGTAGTTTATGAGCATTCCAGTTGCTGCACATCCTTACCTACGCTATCAGTTCTGTGGACACAGAATGTTTGTTTGATTATTTGGAGCCATTATGGTGTGTAAGTAATGCTATTCTCCTGTAGTTTCAATATGCATTTTCTCAATCAGAACTGGTGTTCTGAAAACTATGTCTATTGGTCAACTGCATGTTCAATTCTGTGGGACAAAATTTAAAATCTATGCCCATATGTTCAGAATTGAATCATCTATCATTATCTTATAAAGTTATACAAAAAGATATTACAGTCTGGATACAAGCCCTTTCTCAGATATTTGTCCTTCAACATGCTTTATTACTTTACCTTAAGTTTAGGCCAATATTCCATCTAGAATTGATTTTTTTGTCTGATGTGAAATAAGATCAAGTTTTCTATAATATATCTCAGTTGATTCAGAATAACTTATTTAAAAAGTTCATCTTTTCCATGCTGCACATTGCATGACCTATTTTTTTTTTGTAAATTAGATATTAGTATATAATTAGGTCTGTTTCAAGATGATTTTTCTACACATATGCCAATATCACACTATTCTAATTAATATAATTGCATAATAATAAATTTGATAACTGATATGATCCTAACACCATATATAAAAATTTAGAACAAAAAAGATGAAGTTTCCAGGTTCTAGATTACACCACAGCTAAGTAGTTCAGTCAAAGCAGCAATACCACCCATCCATACACCCATTTATTCATCTAAATGCCAATCCTAATTATGCCAGGACACATTTCAGGCACAGAAAAATTGATTGTCCTTCCCTTGTGGATTGCTTTTCACAGACTAAATCCTGTGTTAGATGCTGAATTCCCAGTGTAGAGTGACTCTCAAGTGTTTCCTTAATGACGTAAAATAACCTCTTCGGACATAGATCACATTCTATTTTATCATTTCTATTAGCAAGTGCTAGACATACATAAAGAATGGACACTGGAAAAATTTAACAGTATGTCATTTGTCAGTAAAATTTAAAGATAAATAGCTGTTAAAGAATGAATATGCTTAAACAGCTCTAGATGAAATAAGCAAACTTAATATCTTAGCTGGTCTGTCAGAAGAGAAGTCAGAGAAACATAAGTCAGGGAGGTGAGGAAGATTTTTTACTACACATTCTTCAATAAGCATTTTTTGGTGCTTGCATTATAGTTTTGTTAAAATATGATAAGCAATATTTTAAAATACTGATAATACTGGTGTATTTCCCTACCATTGAGTAGAACAGGTTCTATTTCTTATTTCCTTTTAATCATTTTAATTTTTGTTTTGTTTTAAATAATACTATAAAAACAACACAAGTAAATAAGCATAGTAAATGCCGCATCTCAACTAGTAAAGAAGTAAAGATCTTATTAATAATCTAGAATAAAGCATTGCATCATAGCCTTTCTAATGACTAGAAAGGTATGTACTTTACAGATTAAATATAAATCTTCTAAACGTGTCCAGTGAATATATTTCTACTTAAAGTTTTTCAGATTTTAATATTAAACATTTGTATATAGAATATTACAGGTCTTCTACTCAGAGGTCTAGATACGTATATGATGTCTATTTGTACTTGAAAGGGATTATTCAATTTCTTAGTGCTCACTAATTTTGTATTATCTTGTTTTCTTCCTTCTAGTTTATATCTTGATTAAGTGGAATGTGTTTCACTAGTTGTCTCAGAATACACATGTAGTTTAATATATAAAGTTTTGTATATGAAAAAATTTTCACTGTTATTGTATTAAAAATTTAGAAATCGGGATTTTCTCTGAAAGTTTGTTTTCTTTCACAGTGTTATAATTTTTAAAGCTGAAGAACAAACATCTGTAGATAACAATATTTTAGCTTAATTCAAAATATTTAAGAAATGTTTTTAAAAATCATAAATAATAGAAGGAAACAACCATAATCCCACCATGTAATATAAAAACTAAACATGACCAAAGTTGTTTACACTAAGTTTACTGAGTATTCATTGGAAGCTAACTAGTGGTTTCTCTTATTTTTATTAGCATAATTTTGGTATATTTATAAAATGTTTTACAGGCATAGTGGCAAATAGACCCTAGATTGGTTCTTATGTTCATTCTCACCTAAAACAGCATAACAGCAATTCACAAAGACGTTCTCCTGAACCCAGAAGTTAGAAATTCCATGACCAGTAGGAGACAAGATCACTTCAGACTGCTCCTATGACACACAAAGTTGGCATAGAGACCACTTGTGGAGAAGTTTCCTAAGCCTGCAGAAAAAAGAATAACTTCATTGTTTGGTTAGAAGAGTGTAGTGTTATAACACCAAGTAAAGGGTTCAGATATCTGTACTGGCCAGCCATAAATAAAAATAAATAAATAAATAATGAATAAAAAAAAAATTAAATAAATAAATAAATAAATAAATAAGAAAAGAAAGAGGAACAGACTGACCAGTGGGAGGAAAAATTACTACAGACTACAGACCACTCTATCCCATCCCCTAGTTTGGCATAGCACCACTTATAGACAAGTTTACTGAACGTAAACTTGCATCAGAAAAGGAGAAGGTAGGAGGTAGGTATTCACCTTGTCCACTGGTTTGAAATTCTTCACAAAAATACCACACAAAGCTTGCTATACAGAAAATAGTTGGAGTGCCAGGAGGCCTGGACTGCCAGTGGCAATGACAGGTACAATCTAGGCAGCTGCTCTGTATTCAAATCAGTATGGATGACACACAGAGCAGACTGCTGGTGCCATAGTGGTGCAGGGTCACAATTTTTGGGAAAGACCAAGTGCAGGACTGCATCATTCACACAGCCAGGTGTGCCAGTGGACTCTTCACTTGATTCAAAATTGACTAAATGGTCAGCAATTAAATTTAGGTCCTTGCAATAA